GATACATGTATCTACACAAATTGGTATACTGTTATTGTAATATTACTTATTTTCTGCATTGGTCTCTTTATCTTTGTCTTCCTCCCTCTCTCTTCCTCCCCCTCTGTCTGTTATAGAGTCACGTAATAACTCAGAACACTGTTATTGGTTCAGTACCATAAATTTGAATTATCCTCCCTCTTTGTATATTAACAATTTCCTAGGATGGTCGAGACAATACAGAGAACGGACCATCTTCGACACGATGGCATATACCTTAAAGCTTCATACATAAATAAGACAAAGACTCTTAATAATACTAAAACGCGATAAATTATTACCGATAGGTATCTCTTTCTATCTTTCTCTACTATTTCTCATATAGTAAGTTCTAGCTTTCACGTTAAAGAAATGGCCTATACCATTGTAAGATAAATGAAAACGTTGCATCAATAATTTCAAGACTTAATTTTTTAACATATATAATAAATATTCTTGTTTCTAGACCTAAAAAAAAAAAATTATTTTATAATATGAAATAACATTTGTGCGAATAAAAATTTTTCTTTTTCTTTTCTCGATGAAATTATATCATATATTGTATAGATAAAATCATTTACAACGATATTACTAGGAAATGAATTATTGAATAATGAAGAAAAAAAAATGCGATGGGAATCAAATGATGGTAATAAAAGTGAGAATATGAAAGAAAGAGAGAAATATTAGGATCGATTCTCGTTGAGCGATTCCAAGATCGTAGATTCCACGTTCCGCGGCCAAGACGAGGGACAGGGCAACATTACTCTCCAACTGGATAACTCAGGCCATATCCTTGCAGGCCATACCTCACACTAATGAGATGCTTCGTTGATTCTACAAGCTGACTCCGCACGTGCAAACATACCAGAGGCCTCTATTTCAACGAAAGTGCAAGCTGCCGTGTTTACGTAACCGTGCATGATGGAAATTCAAGCTATGAAACCTCGTTAAATCTGGAATAAGTGAATATCTCTTCACCTCTTCCTCTTCCTCTCCCTCTCTCTCTCTCTCTCTCTCTCTCTCTCTCTCTCTCTCTCTCTCTCTCTCTCTCANCTCTCTCTCTCTCTCTCTCTCTCTCTCTCTCTCTCTCTCTCTCTCTCTCTCTCATCGTACAACCCCTATTCATTCTTGAATATTCTAATTGCAACGACCAATCTATTTGCTTAACGAGCATCGACGACGCGAGTGGAAACTTTGATGCGATCCTTCGCGTTTGCTTTTGCAATATGGGTACTACCGAATAATCATATTTAATATTTCCCCAAAATTATCAAAATTATTTCAAAATAAATGTGTTTTATTGCAAAGATATTTTAATATTAATATTCGTATTAATATAAATTAAAGCGTTTGATCAATTTTATTATTATTATTATTATTATTATTATTATTATTATTATTATTATTATTATGAAAATTATTGTTCAACTAATTTTTCGAAACTTTATTGAAAAATATATATTGGCTATTGTAATAATTGAAAAGCGAAAAACAAAGCTGAAAGAAAACATAGCTTTTAGGTAAATTCAGGAACGATAGGGGTGAATGAAAAATTACTTTTTTTCTGCTCGCAAACAAGCCCAATATTTATTCGTTAATAAGAAACAAAGAACGACTGGTTCGTGTTACTGTTACCCCGGTAGGGTAAACGCAAAGGAAAATATCGCATTTATTTTCTTTACTATCGTGGCAGAGATTGTACGATGAATACACACACGTGTCCCTTCTCCTAATAAATTACCATGCCTTCCGAGATATGCTTAAACCGAGTGTTAAATGGTACAAGTTAAATTATATTCAACGTAATTAAATGGCGAAAGATCTTTTGTACGATTATATTCGCAAAAAATAACAAGGAATATATATTATTACGAAGCATAATTAAAAACACGTTTACGTATTTACTAAAATCATCGAAAAAAAATGAATTTTTATATTGATAAGAATTTAATAAAATAATGGTAAAATAAAAATCTACAAGTGCTAATCTATTGGAAATTATTTTGTCTAATATTTTAAATCATAATTACTTAAAATCAACGATTATTGTGTTTGCAACGATATATCATTATTCAGCGCTGTAAGTGCTAAAGAATAATTCTTAAAATATAATAAATGCTAAAATTGTATCACTAAACTCATAAAAATAATAATATAATAATAATAAACTAATGAAAATAATATCCAAATATTTAGTAACCTCGGTATCAATGTCGAGGATTGTCAGCAATAACGAGTAACAAGTTGAGAAAGATCAGAATGATTTTAAAACTTAAAAAGATTGACGACCGTAATGGTAGAAGGAGAAGCATGGTCAAAGTTGGAAGCGACATGTGACTTGTAAAACGACGAAGACGAMAACGAGAGAGAGAAAGAGAGAGAGAGTGAATTTATAGATCCCACGAGCCTCTTACGTCTCTTGGCCACGCAAGTTTAGCAAGCTACTTACCGGTCAGAGTGGAAAAGTAAAAAGTGTCGTTCGTAAGAAGATACGTGAAATTTCAACGCTATTCATACAAGTAGTAATCACGACAGGAAAAAAATAGGGCGAATATCTCTTTTTGAAAAATCAATGTCCTACATCATCTTGAAAAGCAATCTGAATGGCCAATTTTATTCAACTACTAACTCAACGATATACCAAAGCATATTTCTACGGTACACTTTCGTGTAACAATACTTCGATCTAGGACTTTGTCGACATATACGATGACATTTTCGGTAGAGTTCCAACTAAAATTTCGAGATTACGTTTTTAACTTCCATAGGTACTATACCAACTTTCACGGCTTACTGGGGAGCCATAAAAAAATGTTTCCGGTGTCTAATCCAGACGGATTCATTCCGCATTCATTGTAAAATTAAAATGATAATGTTCCTTCAGAAACTATCGTTACTAGCATGCAATTATAATGAACGAATCGCGAGATGTCAGGTTATCTCGTGGGACAAACGAGAAAAAAATTGCTTATCCTGTGAAATAATCTAATACATCGTGTATGAATTATTTCAACGTATTTATATAACAATGTCTAAAGTATTATCAAGATGACTCGTATTTATCGCTAATTCTGTCAAGATCAATATCTAAAACGAATGTAACGATGTCTTTGAAAGCAAGGAATATAAACCGTATAATGGTGCTAATAATCTCGAATTCTACCGAGTCGAATCGTCTCACGAGAACGATCTCCTTTATCATTTGGAGTCCTTCTTAAGTAGGAAGATAGTAACAGCCGGGGTATCCCTCGTAGATTCAAAGTTACTCAAATTTCCTCTTGCCACATATTGTCGAGATATTTCAACAGCCTCTTTAGACGCGTAAAGGGTTAACGAGGTCGTCCGGGTCAATCTCGATTGCTTGAGGCTACCGATATCGAATACCGCAATTCGTTCTTATGCTTCTCATTCGAATAACAATACTACGAAGTAAATCAAATCGATAATATAACAATAATCGAAGAATTATGCTTACATCTTATTCTTATAATTTCCCTTCTTCTTTCTCTTTCTCTGAATATTAAAAAAAAAAACATTAGAAAATGGATCTTTAAAAAAATCCAAATTTATATTATTTTATTTTTATTTTACGATCGATAAGCAACATTCAATCATTTATTATCCAATTGAATTTAAAACAAAAAATATCACAAATCTTTTATAATCAAATATTATATTTTTAACTTCAATTTCAAAGCGAATGATTTATACGCAAAAAATAATCATTTTCTATTATTTAATTTCATTTATATCCACAATTGATATTATTTCGTTTTATTTTTGAAAACATTACTCGTATAATAATTATTATACGATTTTTATGATTACTGTAAAATTTTATTTTTAAATCAATAAATTTATCCATATATAGTCCATTGATTTTTGTCACAATGTTTTATATTCATTAATAGAAGAAGAATAACACTTCTGTAGGTAGAGACTGATTTATACCCGTTGCTTTGTACATTTTGCGGAGACTACGTGACCGAATGCGAATGCCGAACGAATAATGGCCGCTAGAATTTATTTGTTCCTATGTGCTCACACATCAAAGAATTCAAATGATACCACAAATCTGTCGCTCTTCCAGTAATTTAGATTAAAAATTAAGAACTTTACTGCATTCCCTTATACCAATTCGTAATGCAACGTCCGATATCAACTTTTTTCAGATGAATCGCGTATCTAATGATATGAACAAATCAAAATACAATACAATTTTCAAAATCAATCAATAAATTCTAATGAATAAATATATTAAAAATTATTTACATATCACAAGATCATCATCAGATCTTTGATTCTTCAAAAAGTATATATATATATATATACGTAACATAAATTTAGAACTTCATAAACTTCATCTTTCATTCCTTTAACGAAAACATGTTGCAATTTTTGCCGAGGAAGTAATATTACTCTCTCATAACAACAATCGTCGACAAATTGAAATGCCGTCCGCCGTGTTGAGATTTCGAGTAACCTCCAAAATAACATCTCTACAACCTTTCTACTCACTATTGTATGCAACGATATTGTCAGAGAGGCGGCCAAACGAACAAACGAACGAACGGTTATCACCTTCTACCAATCGACGATCTCGTTTCAGACAGCAACAAAAAATAAAAAAATAAAAAGGAATGAAAAAAAAAATAGAGAAAGAAAAACCGTAAAAAAGACCAGAAAATAACTCCAGCGTGAAAATCGTGCGTGAAGACCCAATGCAACGCGCGTACAACGTACGTGTACGATATTGAATGAAGAGAAAGATAGCTAAGAGAGATACAAATAAAAAGAATAAAAAAAAAAGAGAGAGAGAGAGAGAGAGATACAAATATACAGGTCGTAAAAGGAAACACGAAAAATTGTTTTTCTCCTCTCTGTAGATATAAAGTTGAAGAAAAAACAATAATAATTAAAAAAAAAAAAATAAAGAAAAAAAAATTAAAGTAATAAATAAAAAATTTAAATTGACTTACATTTTTGGAGGAAGAACGAAATCCTTTGTTGATTCCTTTGTAAATATCGTTATTGAAGATCGTAAGATTTTTCTCAGTATGTCGAATTAACGGATAATGATCCTCCAATTCTCCATTATCGCTGTCGTCTGCGCTATCTTGGTTCTTCTCTTTTATCCGTATCGCGTATTCCCGCGCATAATGTCTCACTGCCATCACTCTCGATAACGACAGCACCCAAATTCAATTCTCGTTGCTTTTCCCAGAATTAACCGTAACTGCGCATGCGTTTACACACGAAGCGCTTCGCGATAAAATCGAATAACACTTTGATCGTTTCTCACTATTTGTATTAACAAATAAGAAAATAGTAATCAGACAACAAATGACTTCGATCTAACAGCTTTTGATCCTAATCATTTCCTAATAAAGTTACTAAAAAGTTAAGAGATTCTCTATTTTTGTGCCTTTCCCACTTTATCTATCGAGTATCAAACGTTTTTATAAACATTGCCAAATCTTTCTTTCAAACTAGTAATAAACACGAACACAAAGATAAATTATTATTTTTATACCGTCACGCTATAAATTGACTTATGTAATTGTCATTCAAATGGTATGTCTAATATATGTATACGCATTCTATGTGTCGTACAAAATTAAGATAAGATTTTATGTAGGTAAATAATTTATATATTCGATACTAATATTTTAGAAACATACTTGCAAATAAAACATATTTATCATTCCATTTACGTACTTTTTCCGTACAATTTCGCACGAACTCGAATATATAAATTATATTAATATTATGTATACAGAGTAAAATAGTTCGAACATTTTCGAGAAACGATTTAATAATTATTATTTCAAATGTAGAATCATGAAACAAATTTACAGCTCCTTTCTCTTTCTTTTTCTTTTTTTTTTCTTTCGAATCACTTGGAATTTATCTACGAAAACTGATCGAACAAAATCCTAATCAAGATTGCAAGAATCTCCAGAAATCCAATGTAATGCGAAACCAACATGCATTCTAACGGATACTGCTTAAGTCTACCATGCATTTTCGAAATATCACATCGATTAAAACTGAAAATATTGTCGTTAATAGTAAGGGAATAGCTCTTGTGTCCGTTAGTTGTGAATTTATATCATAAAACAAACGTAATGAAAAAAAAGTAAGATTACTACACTAGTTCAAATAGTATCTTAGAATAATTATCAGACTTAATGAGACAAACACCTGGAATATAGAATGAACCTACTTTCGATACGTATTTATTTATAATATACATGTATGCATACATGTATATAACTTCTATTCTCACTGGCTTAATTATGACCAGAAGATAAGCATCTAATTAACTCCAAAAGAGATACACACAAATATGGATGACTTCGAGTTAGTGGATAAAAACGAGATTGGCCTGGATATCGATTTAAATGAATTATAATTCTCGAATAGGGGCTTAGAAATGAGGTCAAATTCGGTACAAGGCAAGCTCGGCTTTCCCGCTTATTATACGTTCCGCGTGAGGTAAAAGACCTCTACTTGATTTATCAGTAGCGACATCAGCAATGCCTTTAGCAAAAACATCAGCAACACCGGTAAGCAAATTCTATAGAAAAAAAAAACATTCAATTCCATGAACGATTCACGCTAATTACATCTCGCTGCGAATGATGCTCACTTTTTGCTATATACATTAATTATGTGTACGTATATAAATCTTTCAAATTTTGCTGCTCAGTACTTTATCAAAATATTATTTTATATAATCTAAAAGTAAATAAAATATCTTATAAAAGTTACAAAAACAAAATGCAATCAATGTTTGTTGCTTGGAGCAATTACGAAAAAAACAAATATGTTGGAATATTTATTCTGGAATTAAACAAAAAATTGCTGAAGTTGTAAAGATAGCAATAATCGTTATTTTCAACTATTACGACATAAAGGAAAAACGATCGAGAATTAGATCTAGTTTGTATCTGTTATATAAATACAATACCGAAGGAAGACATCAGACACATCGGTATAATGCAGTGAAAGCATAGATTTCTCGCCGAGATTCTGACGCATAGTTTCCATACGTGTTTATTATCCCTGTTTACATTCTACGACTATAATACCCACAACGAAATATATCTTTAAAGTTCAAAAAGAAAAAGAGAAATACAAAGAAATGTTCTTACGCGTTACTTTATTGCCATCGGTATTCAATCTAAACAAGAAAAATTTCGTAATATTAATTAAAAATGATCGAAACATGTTGCACAAATCCATCTAAAAAACCTCGGATTAATACTTTTAAAATATCTCGTTGTTATGACAACATATCGAAACGATATTTTTCAAGTCGCATACGTAATACAAATTTTTATTCTATTTACATGATAAGAAGATATTTTTAACATTATCGAGTGTGAATATTACCGAGAAACTACAAATTCTAAGTTACTACTATTTTCCTTAGAAACATATCACTAACTTACTAATGTAACTTTAGATTTTTCATTCATATACACCGATCTCTCTCTGACACAAAACTCGAAAATACAACGTTTTCACTTTTGATCGAAGAAAATGATATTTAATCGAATCACTTTCGAATTATTCCTCTCGTACTTTTCTGCGAAAAGTGAACGGTACAAAACGTCCAGAAGAGCGCGTGCTAGTAGTTCGTTTTCCATCTGACGAATAAAGAGAAAGGATCGTTTTAGCTATAGGACAACTAGTACACGCGGCCTTGACACTTTGCATGACATCGTCTTACCGATATTACCGAGCTAGGATAAATTAACAAAAAAATTTAAAGGAAAATTTCCAAATTAAACCTATCTTATTTACAAAAAAAAATACCTATATATCCTCCTCTCTTTATCTCTAACAACTTTCTTTATTTACACACCCAACACTTAAGATTAATCTATGTATTTGCATTCGTACTCATGTCGTGTTTTCTTCTCTCAATAATGTAAGAAAAAAAAATACAAATTAAGAATTTGTTACTTACATAACTCTGAATTGTTAATTTAGAATACTTCCATCATTACTTGTTGGTTGATTTCACTTATTTAAACGATTCGTTATAAAAATATAAAACATTTTGAGCTAACTCCTTTGCGCACCTGCTTATTACTTAAAATATTATCTTTGATCACAATCTAAAAATGTACTATTATTACTTTGAAATACCGATCTATTTTACAACGCAGTAATAATATTACTCATATATATTTTCTTACTTTCTCTTACCGCGCAAATAATGAATTACCATGCTACTCTAATCTAATTGGCTCCTGCTTGCTTTCATGATAACTACGTAAGTAAAATTGACTAATATCTAATATGTATATATATGTATATATTGTATATATGTATATTATTTTAATTTTATATGATAATGTTATTATTGGAAGCACTATGAAAAGATAATGTAAAAATTTTATGTTACTAAAAACTATAAATATTGTCATTAAATATATATTTTTTTATAATTCATGGATAATTAAATTTTGATATCACCAATCTACTATAATATAAAAAAATGTATTACATCTAAATACGTTTTTAAATTATAGCTTAGTTGTTTGGCCACTAGGTGTCAGTATATGTCTGATTAATCGAGTATAGTTCTATGCACTATTATATTCATGGATATATTTTAAACGTATGTGGATAACAAACTGTAAATATAACTAACCTTTAAAATTTTTTATTTAATATTAATTATTATTGCTAATAAACATTAATTAATATATTGATTTTATAGAAATACAAACCTAGTGTATTAATTTGAATCTTTATGAAAATATATATTTGATAACACGGTTTATTTAAAAAAATTATGTTTGGTGTAAATTGTTATTTATTGTTGCATATTTATTGTTATAATATCTGACAGATTCAAATAAAAGGAAGGAAAATTGGTTGACAATTTACGCGAAAATCATGCCAATTAAAATAGTTGAATAAAAGAAAGTAATGGCCAAATGTCTTATTTATAATATTGAAGTATATCTATTGCAAAAAAATCCATTATTATCACAATACAGTAGAAAATCAAGAGTAGGTTTACTCAATTTATTTACTACACAAGTAATAAGCATTTCTGCTTCTTTAGATATTCATAATTGCAATAGATATTATAAAAATAATATATATAAAAACTCTGTATACACTAAGTCAAATCAGCCATTAATTACTAACTTATCGAATATTCTTTCTGTGGATACATGTGAGGCAACAAAAATCTGGACAAATATTAAAAAATATAAAAAATTAACAGAAGATGAAACAATGAATATGATTACTATTGTAAAAAACGCTGGTTTATCGACACCTTTAATTATAGAAAATTTACCAGTGTTAATAAGAAACATTGATGTACTAGAAGAAAAAATCTCTTGTCTTAAAACTCTTGATAGTAATATTACTGAGATGCTTCCATTATTAGACATAAGTATAAACCATTTAAATACATTATTATATATTGGCAAAGAGAAAAGTAACAAAAAGGAAATAAATAAACTTAAATATCTTGCGGATGAACTACAGGTAATTGAGAAAACTTATTCACAAGCTTAAGTGTAAAACATAGAGTTTTATATGTTTTCCTATTTTTGTATTATTTCAATTATTACTTATAAAATAAATTGTGTATTTTGCAGTGTAATCTCTACATATTGTGCAAATACATTCAAAACGAACCAACAATAATAAAGCTTTCGATAAGAAAAATAAAAGCAATTATAAAAGTACTGAAAGGTATAAAACAATTTTTATATAGATTACTTGCTATACTTATCATTTAGTAATAGAATTTATATGTATATTATTTTTATTATTACCTCAGAATTTAATTATGAGTTCAATGATATATTATTCAATCTTTGGGTATTCAAATACTGCCCAAGAAATATACGTAGAAGATCATCAACGATGAAAGCAGCAGGAATGAAGAAAATAAAACCTTGGATAATTCGATCTTCTGTACTTGGATTACGTGAGTAAGTTCATTAAAACTATATTATTTAACAATTGAATATAATAAAAAAAATCTTTTTAGATATATTAAAAGATTACGAAAAAAAGAAATGTTCAAGGATATTTATAATAGCCATACACAATTTTTTTCTAATAAATTAAATTTAACCAAAGAGGAGGTTGAATTTTATATTAATAGATCTCCACAATTGTTAAATATAAAAATAAAAAAACTTGATGAAGTAATAAACATACTTCATAAATATGGATATAATGCTCAAGATATCTTAATGTGTCAACGTATTTTTTTACTTAAAACAAAATTATTAGAAGAACGCCTTAAAGCATCACAAGCATTACGTGGACAACATAGACTATCATTACTCTATTGTAGCTCAAAGATTTTTAAAACTTTACTTAAAAATACACATAAACCTAATAATGAAATAACAATCGATACTGATTCTAAGTAAATGTAATAAATAAAATATGAGTTTATTTGATATAATTTATGTAAGATTTATATATA